CCCCTACCCCTACCCCTACCCCTACCCCAAGCCCTCAATTCTGCTCTGTCTCATAGTGGTCGCTCGTTACGGAAGTCCTCCCAGGTCATGATTGCAGTGCTTCCAAAGGATGACGTTTTGTCCTGTGATGAGTATCCAAATTTTGTCCTTAAAGGAGTATACTTCAAACTTCTCAGTGGAAGTGAAGCTGCTGCCCTAGTTATTGCAAACATCATGAAACTGTACTTTTCGGGCCCCGTCGATTGTGTTTAGAGCATTAATTTAGAAGGTTGACTGCTTCGACCCTCCTACCTATTCAGGGCCAAATCAGGCTGAGAGGGATACAATGTACCAGCGAAAAAGACCAACATGAAACTGTATAAGTTATTTTGGCCCCGTCGATTTTAATAAGAGCATTTAGAAGGCGGACTGCTTCGACTCTCCTGGCTATTCAGGGCAATATCAGGCTGAGAGTGATACATTGTCCCAGGGGAAAAGACCAAGTTACTCGATAAAAGTTCCCCTCCTTCGGGAATCGAACTCAGGTCTTCGGCAGGCGACGGCACCAAACTGCTACGCCACGAAGACCTGTTGCGATGTTCTAGTCAGGCAATGATTGCATTGCGTTTCAAAAGGTTCTTTGTTCTTTAGTTGAATAACAATATTTTTGTAGTTAACGACACACACACAATGCTGAGATCGTTTAGAAGACAGAGTTGTTGACCCAGTTTTTAGGGCAAGGAAAGTCGTAATGTGAGGAAAGAACGCAGGGACGATCTAATGAAGCTATAAAGAGTTGGTTGGCAGTAGTTCATCTTCCTCTCTAGTCTCTCCTCCTTCTTTTCTTTCCGAAACAAACGATCGAAAAGACGAGAAATAGTTACAAGAGCTAAGTACAAAAGTAAGTCTTAGTTTATTCAGTGTTTAAGGCCACTGGCCCACATCACATCATATAAAACACTCATTTGATAAATAAAGTTTCCAAATTAAAAAAGTACAGGTTGTGCACATATCTCTTATCGTGGGTCAAACATCGCATATTTCTGTCAGTGGGCTGAGTCAGGCTGGTAGAAATTAACAATTTACTTTGTTGGACTAAGTGTGGACAATAGAAAATAAAGTGAAATTACATTAGCTAAATACATTATGTACATATTGAGGAATTGTTGTGGAATAGCAAGAGTTGTAGTGTCCTTACTTGTCCTTACTTGTCAACTGTGTTGGGGTCACTGC